GAATCATTCCGTAGGCTAACTGGGTTGTCATGTGACTGGGCCATTGCCGTCATTAACATCATAGCCATTGGCCTATTCCTGGTTGTTGTCATCACTTTGATTTGGATTTGCATCAAGAGAAGGTACATTTTGTCATGTCATGATAATAATTAAGGGTTATTGATGTGCAATGTATACATATATATTGTACTGTTTATGATGTTATGATGGCTGAAGACGGATGCTAATTATGTTTGGGCTCACAGACCTGGTTCTATTGCTAGAYCAGGCAGTCACGCAAGAGCCTACGTAGCACTCAGTTGATGTAAWATATKCATAAAGATATAATACAAAACACATAATACAATAGAACGAGAAAMAATGRAATACAATACATTWTATGAATACATTACATCAAATGCGTGCTACGTAGGTYCCCCCAAAACATGGGGCTCTCTCTCATTGCCTTTTTATGATTATTTATATTTTCTTTTCCTTCTATATGTTTTCTCATTCTAGCACTAATAAGGGTCTAGTATTTGACTTTTTCCAGCTAGTTGTTTGATTTTTTTCAGACACTAAGCAAGTGCTCGAAACTGATTTATTTAGTAAAATTGCAAAGATTCAATCTCGTACCCAGAGCCCGCGTAAAAGAGGGACAGAGGCACTGGGTACGAGATTGGCAAAGATTCTAGTGGAATTTTCTCGAATTTTTTGCTAGAATATTCTTCTATTTTTTTCTTTGTTTTTATGTATAAGTGCGGGAAATTTATTTTTAAAATCATCCACTCACTCTCTCAAAAATCTAATGATTAATCCCTAATTATATCATTTCCGATTTATATATGTCAAGATACGATCTAAAGTACAAGAAAACAAGACAGCGCATGGAGGAACTTGGTCTCATGTATCAGTCTCCCATCATGCAATTGGATGACTGGGAAGTCCCTCGTGAAGATGTGGTGCTCAATCGTAAGCTTGGYGAAGGGGCCTTTGGGACTGTATTTGGTGGGGAAGCCAAAGGACTTGGCGAGAGAAGTGAATGGATGCCKGTGGCTGTTAAGACTTTGAAAGTTGGCTCCTCACTTGAGGAAAAGGTACGCTATTCTGTGAATCTTTGTCACCATAGGACTTTCCTGAGATTGCGGCTTGCATTGCAGTGTGGTATAGGTTCAGCACAAACATCTTATTTTCATGCTGCCAAATATGGCATTGTTTGTGCTGAAGCTAGACCATTTTGCATTTCACAAAAGGTCTCTTGTACTCTATATGTAAGTTAGTCACGCAAGGGATCATAGATAGGAAATGATTTGACTTGGGATGGATGGATTTACCAAATGAAATGACCGCTTGCCATCATTGTTGGTTTCTTATCTCAGTTCAAGTGGTAGAGTATTTCAGCGGCATCGCAGAGGTCATGGGTTCRATTCCCGGTGAACTCACGTTCCGTTATTTTTCCCATTACAGTAGAAACCCGCATATAAGAACCTACAAATTAAGAACCTGTTATCCTAAAATTTGGATTTTATTCCCCCTATAAACAAGAACCTATATAGCCTAAAATTGAAAMMAAGTTCTTAACTTTAAAATCAAATTAGGCATAATTCTTATTACAGTCTGTAAAATGAGTTATTTTGACAAAAAAGGAGTGTCAGACATTATGTTATGAATGTGTTTTTGTCATACTCCTTTCGATCCTTGAGTTATGGTTAAACTGATTTAATATTTTCCCTGTTTGGTAGCTGGAGTTTCTGAGTGAAGCTGAAACCATGAAGGTATTCAATCACAAGAATATTGTCAAGTTATTGGGAGTGTGCACGAAGGGTGAACCTGCCCTGGCTGTCATGGAATTGATGATCCACGGTAAACTATTCGCATTGATAATGAATCAGTGCATTGAGCTTCATTCAAAATTTCAATATGTTCTAAACATCTTCATGCTGCAAGTCTCGGTCGTTAATTATTTCTGTTGCTTGGGATGTCTGTGGTATGATTAAAGTTTTCGTTTTCCGAAAATGTACCTTGTTTTGATTGTATTCTGAAGAGCGCTCGAACACCAAAAATTTGAATCACAACACAGGAATCCCAATCAACGGAAAGGATTAACGAGTGAGACTTGGAGGTTACTTTAAAATTGATATATAATAAAGTTCTCATTACAAAAATGTATTAAAATAGTGCAGTACGTTTTTTTATTATATCCTGCCCAACTAATTTACAAGTACTATAGAATATATAAAAACATGTTATACATGTACGGCCAGGATTACACATCATTCAATTGTCTTCAATTTAAATCGAGCCCCCCCCCCCCCCCCCCCTAATGGGGGAATTAACAGTTAGATGTCCCAGCATTTCCTTCCATTACACGTTAGTTCAAATTCACCGCCTTATTGTAAATTGACACTGCTAAATGGTTAATTCCCCGGCCCTACCCGTTGTTTGTGGGGCCGGGGTTTCAATTGACTGATGGATTATATATTATACATGACTCATGTAACTTTGTATACTTGTCAGGTGACCTGAAAAGTTTTTTACTGGCTAGAAGACAGTATGTCAATCAGGCTTGTAAAGAGGTGAAATGAAGCTTATAATTGATTGATTGGCTGTTTGATTGATTGATCGGCTGTTTATTGATTGATTGGCTGTTTGATTGATTGATCGGCTGTTTATTGATTGATTGGCTGTTTGAATAATTGGCTTTTTTATTGGTTATTTGATTGGCTGTTTGTTTGATTGTTTGATTGGCTTTTTGATTGATTAATTGATCAATTGATTGATGATTGATTTTGTCTAGGCTGAAGATGTGGTTCCAGCTCGACTTACCAACATGGCTTTAGAAATAGCTAGTGGGTTAGCCTACTTATCTAACTTGAAGTATGTCCATAGGTAAGTATCGTGTGTATAAAACCAAAAAGACTCATAACGGATCAGTTTTGCCCTTAGCAAATTGTGTTCCAACTATCCCTCGTATATTTATTCAGTTTTCAAATTGAGCGTTTTTAGAATTAGCCTTTACGTTTCCAGAGATCTGGCTTTACGTAACTGCATGGTTGGGTCTGGTCACGTCGTTAAACTAGGTGACTTTGGTATGACCAGGGCGATGTACGATTCAGACTATTACAGATTTGGACGCAAAGGTACCTAATCGTAGTCCATTGAGCAGTTATAATTAATAGGCGATTTACATTATGGCGTCATACACTTTTGGCACCATTTCTTGAAATAGATATATACTGCTRCTACCAAAATGCTTTGCTTACTTTCTTTTGCGAATGTAATTGTATTGYTTTACAGATCTCGAAAAATCTGAATAACAATGAAAATACGGAGAGCATTCTGGTAGTGCTACAGTAAAATGGCGCAATAATGCATATCGTCTATATTAGTGCTGTAATGTGCTATACATGTGCCGCATGGTTTGGAATGAACTACGTTTGACTTGTCTAACAGTCTAACATGACTCATCATGTTACCAACTATTTAARAAAAACGATTTTGCACTGTGGCCCGACGTGGTAGAATTGAACCTATGAGCAACATGAAGCAACTTTAATTAAGGCCAGTTTACACTTTCGATTTTTGAAGCGCGATAATCGCCACTTTGCTATCGCGCAACTAAAATCGGATGTGTAAACAGCCCTGCAATTGTTCCGACGATGGAAAATCGCCTCCAAGTTGCAGCCAATTTTCAAGAATGTTCGAATCTTAGGCGATGGACGCGCGAGAATCGCGTTGCCAAAAGTAAGCCGCGAGTGTAAACGGGTCTGAAGAAAACAACGTCTCAGTCTTCCACAATGGAAATTTGATATTTCGGCCATTAAACGCAATATAGCCACTGCATATCTAATCTAATTTCGTAGTTTTTCACTTTTGCTCATTCAGCATTTGTTGCATCATAAAAAAATCATAAAAAATCACTCTAACTTTCTAAAAGAAGAATACCTTCTCTTTAAATGAAGTGCAAAGAATCAGTCCATCATTCAACACTGCTACATACTGAGGCCCATCGTCACTTAGGTAGTCGGTTCGTCCAATGTAGTGGCCATCCAATGTAAACTTGGAAATTGACCTGGATTTGAAGTCACACACCAGAAGATTATTRTCATTGTCAATAGCTAGACCACCGGCGCTTTGAAGTCGCCCATACTTGCTCTCCCTCCCCCCGATAGTGGTTCGTATTGCTGGAGACAAGTTGTCTTTCATCTCAATCACGTGCACTCCCGATATAGAACTGACGTAGTACAACCCATTGTGTGCGATTGCGCAATGAGGACCTCTCTCTGTTGGTACAGGGAATTGGTATAGGTAGTCACCATCCATTGTGAACACCTGGACACGATGATTGCCGCGATCACATACTATGATCATTGATGAATCTTCATCAACATGAACCCCACGGGGATGATTGAACTCTCCATCCTTGTTGCCTGGACCACCAAAGGTTGCGACAAGCTCKCCTGAGTTTGCGTCGACTATGCATATTCTATTGTTACCGGAGTCGACTATGGCCAAATCTCGGTCATCAAGGAACGATAAACCCTTTGGACTCTTTAACTGTCCATTTCCACTTCCTTCACTTCCATACGATAGTAACAAATCCCCATCCATGTTGAACACTCTGACACAACAGGCAGACCTGTCTGCTACAGCAATCTTAGTGTTGGATTTATTCACTGCAATACCTGAAACATTCCTAGTCCCAGTATTCAAGTTGTACTTCAGGTCAGAATATTCTTTCATCTCTTGAATGTGTTGTGGTTTGACATCCATCACTAGTGGACTGTTGGATACAGGATTTCCATGTACTTGAACCTCTGCTGTCAACTGACCAGGAAAACGAGGAGTA